CTTGGAAGCCCGGCCCGGGAGAGGAGCCGTCAACACCTGTCACACTCGTGCTAAGTGACCAGCTCGGAGCGCGCGTGGGCTCCTCCCCGCCCGGGACCCTGGCAAGGTCGCCGTGGGAACCACACTGCCCCTCGCAGCCCGCAGGCCGAGCCCGAAGGCGACAACAGGCAGAGGCTGCCGCACGCGGGTCCTGTGCTGTGCGCGGGGCCGCTCGGCGTGGCTTACGCGCCTGGCTCCCCCCCCCCCCCCGCATCTGCCCAGCTGTGGGCGGGGCTACGCCCTACCGGGCGGGCGGAGGGCAAAGCTGGACACTGGGGCCTCGGCTGGGGCTCCCCGCAGGAGTGTCCTCGCTCACGGACACGCTCCCCGCGCCCCGTCACCGTCGCGGGAAGACTGTTTCTGCAGGAATCGTGGTCTCTCAGGACGCGGGCTCCCGGGCCGCGACCGCTCCGCGCAGTCGCTGTCCACTGTGCCACTCGGGCTGGTCACCCCAGGAAGAGACGGTTCTGGGCAGGAGTCTGCCGGGCCCACGGTGATGTTTTCCGGAGACGGGGCAGATAGTCATGGTATTGCGGGGCCTGGCCCACTGCCCTGCGCCTCCTGCACCCTGGGAACACCGGGACCGGCTCTCCGCCCTCCGCCGCCAGCCCGGGTCTCTCCCGAACGTGCTCGGCCCGGTCTGTTCTTTCCTCCCATCGTCGGACGTGATACGTCCGCGGAGGTCCCCCAGGAGACGCAGCGGAACCAAACATCTCCATGGGCTTCTCCCTCCCTCTTCCCACTTACCTGCCTCAGTCCCCTGTCCAAGAGCAACCCTTTTATATCGTTACTTTTTCCATGTTAGTTGGGAAATGATCTAAGTCCAGTCCTGGGCCCACGGTGGTGACAGGTGCAGTGACTGTGCCCTCGGGAGCCAGGTGCTGGGACAACGCTGGCCAACCCCAGCCGCACGTTAGAAGTTCCGCCCCGCGGCTGCCACAGGCTGCGACTTTCATCTCCTCCGACAAACACGGCTCTTTCTGGCCACTTGTAAAGTGTACCCGCTGGACACACATTCTCCTTGACAACTTCAAATTGCTCCTTTCGGCGGTGAGCCAGCGGGTCAGATCACTCAGGGGAACCGTGCGTGTAACCAAGGAAACAGCGGAGTGCGGACCACCACGCTCCTTCTCGTCCTGAAGAACCGAAAAGACAGAACCGCCCGAGGGTGGCTCTGGACACCTGCTGCCAGGTGCTCGGCGGTCCCCAACAGTGACCGTGCTGACACACCTGTCTGGATGCAAGGAGAGGACCCCGGGCCTCCTGGACGCACCTGCCCAGTCAGACTCCAACCGCAGGACCATCGGGGAGCCTGGCCCCCGTGTGTCCGGGCAGCATCCGTCAGCACTGCGAACGCGAGTGTTTGTGGCTGTTGACGCAGGAGCTCGTCGCCCTGGGGGTCCTCGTGCAGAATGTCAGTCTCACTGGGGATGTTGAGGGTGAGGGGCTGGGCTGCCCGGCCTTCTCTGGGTCAGAGCGGGCAAGTGCACGGGCTCTGTGGAGCCAGCTCCTGCTTCCTGCATCTGTCCGGGGTTCAGTGGTGCGCCCCCACCCCAATCCACGCCCACCGGAACCTGCAAGTGAGACCTTATTTGGAAACAGGGTCTTTGAGCAGGAAGTCAGTTAACGTGAGGTCACACTGGATGAACCTGGGTTCTAAGCACAATGACGGGTGTCCTCGTAAAGAGAAGACACAGCGACGGGCACACACAACCCTGTGATGTCAGAGGCAGGGCAGATGTGCCCACGAGCGAAGAAATGCCGGGCACCACCAGGAGCTGGAAGAGGCAGGAACGACCTGGAACCCCAGAGCCCTGAGGGAGCTCGGCCCGGCTGACACTCCGATTTTGGACTCGGGCCTCCAGGGCTGAGAGAGTCGATTCCTGTTGCTCTAAGCCGCCCGGTTGTGGTCATTTCTACGGCAGCTCCTCAGAACAAAGGCCAGGTCCTTGGAAAGACGCCTTCCCGATCCCCTAACACTGCCCACGCCCGTCCTGTCTGTGTGACCCCGTGTCAGTTTCTCCACAGACGCATCACCGTCTCAAGTGACCAACCAGGTCTGCCTCCAGGGCTCGGCACTGTCCTCTCCCACAGTGTTAGCACCGCGACAGCTGAAGCTCTGAGTCACCGGAACCCGGAGCAGGCCCACGGATCCTGTTTCAGGACGTCCCTGCGCCCGGCCTGCTGTCCAGCTTCAGGTTAGTGCGGCCACAAAGGAGCCTGATTATCTCTTCCTTTCCCCGAGCCGAGCCCGTGTGGCCAGTTGCCTAGAAACACACCAAGTGGGTCCATTTGTTCGTTCCTGCCTTGTTGAAAGATAATGTGTTTTTAATTTGCACGGGCTTTTTAGTTTTCAGAACTGCATTGAATGGTGAGGCCGCAGCCCCAAACAAGCCACGCACGGAAATGCATCGCTAGGCTTGGCGCTTGGAAACCGCACGGGAAAGCAGGAGGAAGAAGCAAGGAGAGAAGACATGCAGAGGAGGGGATCAGAGGAGGGATGAGAGGAGGGAGAGCAGGCGCAGGCTGCGTTCCCAGCGGAGGTGGGGCAGCACGGAGACCCCGTTTCAACTGCAGCTTTTAAAGACGATGCAGAACGCAGCACCCCTACCCTGGGCGTGACACCCTCTGCTCAGACTGCCCTCTTTAAGAGGGGGGTTTTGAAGTTCTGACCATCTGGGCTGCTCTGCCGGAAGAGGAGACATACGACGAATGGCTCCCAAGGCCCGGTGATGTCAACTCCAGAATTTCCACCAATTCCACTTCCTCCCTTTCTAATCACCAGACAATCACGAACCTAGCACAGCATGTGTGCTAAATAAATGTCTTTGTGCGGCAACTGACCGGATGGATGGATGGATGGATGGATGGATGGATGGACAGATGGACACACAGATGGATGAACACATGGATGGATGGATGAACGGACGGACACATGGATGGATAGAGAGATGGATGGATGGACAGACTGACACACGGATGGATGGACACATGAATGGATGGATGGATGGATGGATGGATGGATGGATGGATGGATGGATGGATGGGTGGATGGACGAATGGATGGACACATGGATGGATAGAGAGATGGATGGATGGACAGATGGACACACGGATGGATGGACACATGAATGGATGGATGGATGGATGGACGAATGGACGGACACATGGATGGATAGAGAGATGGATGGATGGACAGATGGACACACGGATGGATGGACACATGGATGGATGGATGGCCACGTCCCTTTGCAAGTCCCCCCGACTGGACTACGGCATCAGCTTCCATGCCTGGGGTCCCTCCCAGTCCTACCAGGCATCCCACCAAAGCTGCATGTTGACCTTCACAAAGTAGAGGTTGGTTTGCTACCCAAGAGGTATCAGCAGCATTCAACCCAGCCCAGGGTCACACAACTGGCCTGGGATGAATCCCAAGATAACAGGACCCATTTTTGTGTTGGTGCATTCTGTAGACAAGGGAACCAGCACCCTCACCGCATGCAGAAGTGGCCCGGGGTTAGTTGCCACTGAGCAGGGAGAAGGAGGGGGGGGGACTGTAACAGGCGCTTACACTCTAGGCACATTCCCCCTAAAGTTCCCCTTCAGCAGCGACGGGTTTGGAAGGCAGTTAAAACAGCCAACTAAAGACACACAACCAACTTTGGTTCCACTGAAAACCTGACTAACAGCTCAGGTCCCATGGAGCCATTTCAGAACCACTTTTCACAGTGATCCAGGAGTTACATTGTAGCACATGACCCCACTCAACGGATCCAGGAGTTACATTGCAGCACATGACTCCACTCAACCGATCCAGGAGTTACATTGTAGCACATGACTCCACCCAACCGATCCAGGAGTTACATTGTAGCACATGACCTCACTCAACCGATCCAGGAGTTACATTGTAGCACATGACCTTACTCAACCACCCAACCCCAGCACTTTTCCAGCCAATGGGAATCAAAGCCAAATGCAGAAACCCACCCTGCATAAAGACCAGCCAGCCAGGGGGAATAGTCAGAGGTGTTCAGTGTGCACAACACACCTAACTGCCTCCCAGAGAGGCCAGACGCTCAGACACACAATTAATTGTAGAGCAGAGGGTTTCTTTTGCCAGTACTGCAACCCTGGTATCCAGCTCGAGTATGCACGATCAAAGCACCCACAGGTCGCCCTGGAGCACCTGGGTGGGTCCCAGGCAGGAAAGTCAGCACAGTGCAGAATCATGTATTTGGACATTTCCCGTGTGGAAGAGGGTATTAGGAGTATGCCAGTCCCAGGTGTATCACCCCTGGGACCCACGAGCACCGTCCCTTCTAAGTTCCAGAATATTGGCCACGACCCTGTTCTCAGATGTGGCCCCTGAGCCTCCTCACGAACGGAGCTTCAGCCCCTCGCTCAGACGACAAATCTCGCCCCCTCCAGACCAGCGGAACAAAAACACAAGATGGTTTTATGGACTCTGGGACCCCATCCGGGTCCAGATGGTCAGTTCCCCACAAGATTCTTTCGGTCCATCTGCACTTTAAAGTTTGCCGATCCCCAAGCTACCTGGGAACCCTCAGGGCACAGCTAGTTGACCAGGGCCAGTCACTCAGCAGAGAGGCTCTGTCCCCACCACCTACCCCGATGCCTTTCGGTGAAACCATCTTCACTCAGTGCCATGCTCAGCCCTGAGAGGGACACAGAGTGAGACAGCAGAACAGGACCTCCCCGGAACCAGTCCAGCCACGGCCACAAAGAAACAGGGAGGTGCACAGTGGACCCAAAGCAGTTTCCAAGGAGACGCTCGGAAGGCAGGTGACCCAAGGCCGTTTAAGTGTATCTCCCTTGTTTAAACACCACGCACCAGGCGCCTGGGAAGCCACAGATTCTAAAATGCTGCCCGTGTGTGGAATATTAAAAGCACTCAAAGAAAACTTCTCCGAGACACTGCTCCTGAAGCCGGAACCGCTCACCATCGCCAGAGGCACGATGCCCACGAAGCTGGTCTGGCTGACGAAGATCTCGGAGACCACCAGCTCGCTCATGGAGTCCTCCGCCGGGTACTCCACTTGCCACGTGATTGGCTGGGCCCCGGCCACGTCGCTGCTGTTGTCCACTCCGAAGTCCACTTGCAAGATCTCGGAGAAGGAGCCATTCAGTCTGGAAACAGAGACACAGGTCAGAGGGTCATTTGAAACCTGAAACTCAGCAGAAGGTCAAGGATGCAATAAACTGCCCCGGTCCTCTTCATCAACATGAAGAGTGGCCGCCAAGCTCAAAGAGTCCCGCGCAGTGTGGACAGAGCCCCCTTCCCAGGCTGCCCATCGACGGCCTGCCCCTCAGAACAGGTGACAACCCATCGCCAGGGCTCTGCAGGAAGCGGCAGGTCTTCCCTGATAACCAGGTCGGACCCCACCTCTCCTGTCATACACCGGGCCGAGCTGTCCCCAGCCCCACGCGAGGACACGCCACCATCCAAGCATCACTCACAAGTGTCCCTAAGCCTCCATGTGGTTTCACCATCACTCCAACCACGAGCCACACCCCGGGCGCTATTTCTGCTTCCACCTGGGCTGTGTCCATGGCGTGGCTCAGACGCTGAGCTTTAGGGTTGGGGAAGAATAGCAGTGACCTCATGGGCACCCCAAGACAAGAATGGCAAAGGACTTCCACTGTGAGTGACACAACCCAGTGTTGACAGTTGACTCCCCCTTGCGTCAGCCTGAAATGGGACGAGCTGTGATGTGAGCAAACCTCCCCGTGTTGATCCAGGTAGCGACGGCTGTGTCCACGTGTCCGGAGGGATGTGGTGGGCGAGGCACACGGGTGGGAAAGACGAGTGCTAGTCTCAGTGTCGTGTTTAATCCTCACCCGAGGACATCTTTTCTACTTATTCTACTTACCTTCAGATACAGTGGGACAGAGGGAGAGGGAGAGAAACATCGACGTGAAGGGACACATCGAGTGGCTGCCACCCACACGACCAACCAGGGCCAGGGACAAACTGCAACCGAGGTATGTGCCCTTAGAGGGAACCGAATCCGGGTCTCTCCGGACCGCAGGCCGATGCTCTAACCGCTGAGCCAAACCGGCCAGGGCTCAATGTCGTTTTTTAATCCTCACCCGAGGACATCTTTTCTATTTATTCTACTTACCTTCAGATACAGTGGGAGAGAGGAAGAGGGAGAGAAACATTTGACGTGAGAGAGACACATCGACTGGTTGCCTCCCGCATGACCCCGACCAGGGCCGGGGACGAACCGCAACCAAGGTACATGCCCTTGACCGGAGTGGAACCCATGAGTCATTGGTCCACAGGCCGACGCTCTAAGCACTGAGTCAAACTGACCAGGGCTCAGTAATTTTTTAAAATATGTTTTTATTGATTTTTTAGAGAGAGAGGAAGGGGGAGAGAGAGACAGAGACATCCATGTAAGAGAAACATCAATCGGCCGCCTCCTGCACGCCCCCTACTGGGGATCGAGCTCACAACCTGGGCCTGTGCCCTGACGGGGAATCGAACGGGGACCTCAGCCCCTGGGACAAGGCTCCGTCCACTGAGCCGCGCCGGCCGGCAGTCTCAATGCTTTGACAGAGAAGCCGGTCATCACTGACACAGACTTGGAAACCTCAGGCCACTGCGGGGACCGGAGAAGTTCCAGGACAGACAGGTCAGACAAACAGCCATCCAGCAAGGACTTGGACTCCCAAGTGTGAGCCTCGGGAAGTCACCCTGCTCCCCTCGCCCTGAATCTGCCTTTACCCAGGTTCAAGGACCGTGACAGCAGAATGACCAAGTCGCGGCCCCCCGGGGCCTGAGTCACACCAACCAACCTGTGCCCTTCCTGCCGAGGGGCCGCCTGGACCAAAACGGGCCTGGAGCCTCTGCCCTGCCTTTTGGGGTCCGGTTAGGTCTGTAGCTCTGACCCCCAATTCTCAGCCGGTGAGGAAAGAGCTTTGAAAGAGACCCTGTGGGCACTGAGCATTTATCAGTAGATAAAATAATCCTGGTCACGATCAACATTATCTTACAAGAAAAACAGAAGAATGACATTTCTTTTAGAAAAGCTAGGAAAAAAAAAAAGTTTTCCATTTTTTAACATTAAAGAATCCATATATAATTTTTTAAATAGGACCTAAATTCCACCAGGAGCGGCGGGGAGGGTATCCGGGCCGTCCCCACGGATCTGGTGGAGGAGCAGAAGCCCAACGGGTCCTCGCAATGTCTGCTGACTGCATGAGTCTACCTATTTTAAGATTAAATTTTTTTAAATCATGGGAAAATGTATCCCAGACCATCAGCAGGAACACAGGGTGCGAAACAGAAAGGACCATCCATCAAGTCTTTGTCCAGGGGCACCCGCTCGTGAAGCGTCCCGGCCGCCCACCCAGACACCCCCGGCACCCCCCACCCCCCACCCCCAGCTCCATCCGGGACCCTGCTCAGTTGTCCCAAGCTTTTCTGCTCCACACGCTGAGTGAGCAACTATGCTGATCGTCCCTCTCTCTTCCTCTCTCTTTCTAAAGATCAATAAAAACATACCCTCAGGTGAGGATGAGAAAGTAAATAGAAAGCCTTTGGTGTCCACTCTCTCTCGTTCGGTTTACCCTCCTTCTGCTTGAATCTCAAGTGCCCTTTTCTGCTCTAAAGACTCCAAGGACCCTCCACCCGACGGAGACAGGTGCACCGTGAGCGGCGACCCCCCACCCCGCGTCCCCACCGCAGGACAAGGACACGGTCGTCACCGTCTTCCGCTTTTCGACATTTCGCAGGACCGCAGACGGCGCGAGCGGCCTTGTTTGGCCTTGTTTTCGCTCACCGACATCTCCCACGGGCCGCGAACAAGACTCCTGGGGAACGAGCGAGCGCCCGGGCACGTCCACGCCTGTGCCACCCGGACCCCGCCCACGCTGACAGCCGCCCTCCCTTCCAGCTCTCCCCCCTCCTCAGGGTCACTGTGACCAGGCCGGAGACAGCCGGACAATTGCCAGAATTAACGTTCTCTCGTCTGCCTCTGTCTTTATGACAACATCCTGAAGACCCTTCCAGGGGACGGCCCAGGAACCCTCCTGGACCCCCACTTCAGTGTAATTCCCGGGGTCCCTCTCTGTTTCTTCCGACGGCCAACCCTGAGGATTCTTATTCTACAGCTGACCGTGGGATCCACTGCTGTCTCAGTGTCCCTAGTGAGGAGAGACATCCCCGCTGACGGGCAGGAGGGCCACCTCGGGCTCTGGGCCGGGGTCCCCTGAGCTCTGCTCGGGGTTCACGCGGTGACCTCCACGGGGGCACCCGGGACAGAAGCCGGGCGACTGTATTTTGATTTACAATGTTAACATTATAATGTTCCTTTCTGGATACATCATACGTTCCCAGGATTCAACACTGAAGAAGTACAGAAGGTAAACAAACGGCAGACCGGCTCCCTCCCGCTGGCCCCAGGCCCCCGACGCCCCTGCCCGCAGCCAACCCCGTGACTCCTCGTCTTCTCGTGGCCCCTCCACGGAGCGTGCGCATCTTCGAGTGGGACCACGTGAGATGCTTCGCCTCGTTTCTGCACACACGGTGCACCTCGGACACTCTGTTCTGCCCACGGAACGTGTGATGTCTGAGCCACAGGGGAGGGACGGGTCTGCTCACCGTCCGGCCTGCAACAGGATGGCCGGGAAGTGAGGACAGGACCGGCCACAGGGCCCATCTGACACGGGGCCCAGCAGGGAGGAGGTGAGCCACGGACCACAGGGCACAGAAAGCCCAGGCAGAGGCTGGCCACGCGGCCGCGATGCTGGCGAGGCTGAAGGTCACACTCACTCATTCGTGCCGCACGTGTGTTGAGAGGGGCTGTGTCCCCAGCTCTGAGGGGCCCAGGGACACACACAGAGGGCAGAGTCCCGCACAGCAAACTCCAGCTACTTCTCAGCGTCTACGTCTAACTCCTCCCGCCATGTGGTGCAGGGTTTCCCCGCCCCAGTGCCGCGAAGGCCTCATTAGGTGGGGACCCCGCCACTGCCTGGCGGGCTGCTTGGCTCCCCACAGTGAGAGCAGCTGCTAATGAAGCCAGGGTCCCGGGGTCCCGGGGTCCCGGGGTCGTGCCCTGTGCACGCTGGCCGGCTGGGTCCCTCCAGGTGGCCACAGAGGGCACGGGCCATCCAGCTCCCTGCAGCCGCCCTGGTCACCGGGGCCCAGCTGATGCCTGCCTTCAGCTCGTCGGTCCCGGGTCCTTCCCAGGGTTTCTATGCTGAGACACAGGAGCTCAGTCCTCACCAAGGGGCACGTGACGCGGAGCCTGGGCCCACCCAGCAGAGATCAGGCCCCAGCGAGCGGCCTGCAGAACACGGATCAGAACGCCAGGCCCACCCAGAGTGTGCAGAGCCCGCAGAGCCGAGGGTGAGGACGCGGAGCTCAGAGCCAGAAGCGGGGGAGACTGATGACCTACCAACCGACAGCCTGGAATTTTCTCCCAAATTCCAGACGTGTCCACCTGCTCATCCAACAGCCCGGGTAGAGGTCAAACGGCCTCTCCAACGTGACACTGAACTTCTGCTCCCCACGACCCCCCAACATGCGCCCCTCCCCTTCACCACAGAGGCAACTCCATCCATCCTCATTCGGTCCATCCTCACTCAATCATCACGAACACCCCTCTTTCCTTAACAGCCCTGCCCGACTGTCCAGAACCCGTTGGCTCTGGCTGGGAAATACGCGTTTTCCAAGTGCCTCCACCCGCCCCGTGTCTGCTGGCGCCCCGTCTTGGCACCCCGTCTTGCTGGGGCTGTTATGATCACCTCCCAAGTGATCGCTCCTCCTCCCTCCCCGCGGCTCCTCCCCCCTCCCCGCGGCTCCTCCCTCCCTGCGGCTCCTCCCTCCCCGCAGCTCCTCCCTCCCTCCCCGCAGCTCCTCCCTCCCTCCCCGCGGCTCCTCCCTCCCCTGGCTCCTCCCTCCCCTGGCTCCTCCCTCCCTCCCTCCCTGCGGCTCCTCCCTCCCCTGGCTCCTCCCTCCCTGCGGCTCCTCCCTCCCCTGGCTCCTCCCTCCCTCCCTGCGGCTCCTCCCTCCCCCGGCTCCTCCCTCCCTCCCCACGGCTCCTCCTCCCTCCCTCACCTGGCTCCTCCCTCCCCGCGGCTCCCTGCTCTGTCCTCTCCCTCTGTTCTCTCCTCTCCCC